GCATGAACATATGTTAAGAAAATCATCACCGTTAGATGACTTGGTGTTTGGTAGTAGGATTTCTGTGCTGAAAACAATTTGGACTTCAGTGATTAGGATATCCAGATTAAAAAAGTATGATACCTAATTGCACACGTACCTCTGTATTCCCTCAACTAAAGCAACTTCATCAGGTGATGATGATATATATATGCAAGATCTTCTTGAGAGCTGGTTTTTCTTCAACCCATCTACGCTGTCATCATCTTTTACCTGAACTGTGTGGCAAAGACAAAGAGCTCGGAAAAATAGCTCCTCCCTCTCCTAAAAAATAAAAGAAATGGCTGTCATTACATGTTATCGCTTTCAAGTCCGGTGGTGAAAAATTTTTTTTTTTTTTTTTTTTTTTTGAGATCACTCAGTGACATCTGAAAGCTGCAATCACCAGTGAATTCTTGAGTGAAACGGCCTGAGTCAGCAGCAGCGCGGCATCTGCTGCTTGGCTGAGTGCGTGGAGGTGTATTGTCTGGGGAAGGTCAGCACATGATTCATCAGCATCTGCATGCACTTTGCTTCATCTATTTTATTATAAGGGGTGGAAGACTGAGGCCAAAGGATGAGAGTCTGAGCTTCAGCAGCCTACCGGCTGATCAAAGATGTCTTTCCTCGTTTCAAGCAGCCTTCTGTTTGTTTTTGGTTTTGTTTTCCAGTGATGGATCCTGCTGGAAAGAGCTTTCTGATGGCACAGCTGTGAGGGAAACCAGCACAATATGTTCAGTGTCGAGGACCTCCTGATTTCTCATGGATACAAATTGTCCAAAAATCCCCCTGTTTCATATGAGAACAGATACGATGGATACCGGCATGAAATCGTGGGGAACAGATCTGCTCAGAGAACGCTGAATGGTTTTGAGGCAGAATCGAGAGCCGGGGCGTACAGCAAGAAACCTCTGGTGAAAACCAACTCGAGCAGCACTGAGAGCAGCCATGGGAGCCAAGGGAGGCAAGCGGGTCCTGGTTACCACCATGACCTTCAGGGTTTGTCCACTTTTCATACTTCAGAAGGGGGGTAAGTTTCAGCATCATGCCATGGCTTTGCTTTCTCTTCCTTTTGGTCCTGACATAACTAAGCATGACCCTAACCCCTGACACCATCTTCCTGTGATCCTTTCCTGCTCCCACACTAGTGACCATTTCCACGCACCACAAGTCCACACACGGCAGTGGCACATCCATTCGCCTTCTGCTAGAGCGAGGCACTTGAGAATATTGGGGTGATGGGAGGTGGCCAATATGGTCTGTATCAGAAAGACCTTTCTGGTGGGCTTAGGAAAGCTCAGTTCAAGTACAGTAAAAGAGGGGGGCAAAAGCTCTTAATTTTCTCCAGTTTTAAGAAACTGAGCCCAGCTTCAGCCCTATACACACCCCGGGCTTTGCTGGAGGTTCAGCCCTGCGCATCTCTCGGTGGGTGTTCCGACCTGCACCGAGGACTCGCTTGTTTTTCTCAGGCCACCCTCCAGGAGAAAACATGAGGAGGTGCCTGGGTGTTTCTTTTTAAAACATCCCGAAGCAGGTGGAAGCTCTTGTCGTCACTCCATAAAACGTGCCGGTGCGGCCGTGGCTCGCTGGGCGCGGGGTACGTGCGCGCCGGGGCTGGGGCAGGCCGGGCAGGAAGAGCTGTGTGTACACACCGCGCTCGGCCATTGTTCTGCGGCTATTTGAGGCCTGCAGAGGAACAAAGGAAAGGGGCTAGAGCAGGACTGGAAGCCAGCCCGAGCGTGACCACGGTGTAGGAGGAAAAGCCCCTTCTTCCTCCTGCCGAACGGGCTTGAAACTGAAAGCAGGGCCAAACGCCGCCGCCTTGGGAGCTCGTCCTCTTATGAAGACCTTCAGTGACATGTGGCAAAGGCACGTGTCTCCTCACTGCTGGGCTTGGCTGCTCTTTCCCTGCATATATCTTCCCCTTGTGAGCCCGTTTGCCTGGAACAGGAATGGCTCCTGGCTGCCAGCTGGGATAACGGGCAGGAGGACATGTCAGCCCTGTAAAGCAGTCCTAGGGCAGCAAGTCCCAGCCGTGATGAAGGTCCCCAGGTGGAACCGTCCCTTCTAGAGAATGAAGGACACAAATTTAAAGGTAATAAGGAGGATCCTTCACAGTGTGTTTTGGGTGAAGTGAAACTGGATAGCAGTAAAGTGAGGAAAGGTACTGAAAAAGGCTTCAAAGCAGGGGAAGGGAGTGCGTGGGGGTGTCAAGGAAGGTGGCACTTGGCTTTGGAGGTAGGTTTTTAATGTGGACAAAAACTGGTATGAAGAAGATATGGCTGTGCAAGGCTGGAAGCGACCGCAGCTGGAAGCTGCATCCCTGCCTCCCGCCTCACCGGGGGCTGCGGTGGGGACTCACATGCCTGCCCCACACCTGGGATGTGACAGATATATCTGTGACTGCTGGTGTCGGCCAAACTCAGAATAATGCTCTCTGACTTCTGAAGTGTCTCTTTCTGACATCTCAAAATGCAAGGGGTGAGATCTGTCAGTGTGGTTAAATATTATATCCTGGTTTTTAAAAGTGGTTTTTCCCCCTAAAATAGGGAGCACAGCCCCGGAAATGGCTTTGTCACACTTTCACAACAATAGAAATCTTTTCTTACTATTATTTTTACAGCCCAGTGAGCCTATTGGGAACTCTTACAAGGCACTAGCAGCTATGGACAAGGGAAAACCTTTGTATGTGCCACCCCTGGGTGTGCAGAGGACCTCTGATGTCAGGGGTGACACTGCCGCTGTCCTGCTGGGACGGGCAGGGAGGAGTGAGCTCTCTGGGATTGATCCAGGAGAGCTCTGCAGCTTCAGTGCTGGAGAACACGAGTTTCAGGTGCTGAGCTCTGGGGTGGCAATCCCCCTCCTGACCCACTCCCCTGCCCTGGGGAAGCATCTGAGGCATGGGGCTGCTTCTTTAAAACAGAAGAGTTGTAATGGCCCACTTTGGGGTGTTTGGGCCTGTTGAGGGCAGGCCATAATGAACTTCGGCCTTGCTGTCTGGTTTTCTCAGGAAATAGGTTCCAAGTTCTCAGGCTGGGACAGAGCTGCATGTTGTGGAGACTGGAGAAGTCTTTGGGCCCGAGGAGGGGACAACCACCCAACAAGGTCCAGCAGGCTTCCTGCAGCCATCTCCTGATACTGCCTTCCCAGTGCAGCGCAGTGGCAGGAGAGGGCCAGAAGATGCAGTGTGTGTGTCCCAGCTACCTTCACAAACCTTGACCAGGTCCACGGCAATTTGGGGCATGACTCAGGCTCCTCAGCTAGGGAATTATCTACACCACACTCATGCTCTGACCACTGATGCAGAAGAGCTAATTGCCCTCCAAACACCACAGAAGGGAGTGACTTTGCCCACCTCGTCTCTGCCTTCACAAACAGGTTGGCAGGGCTGGGGGTGTTTCATGACGGCGGGGGATGATGCTGTTGTCTCCACTCATTGGGATTGTTCTGCTGATCAAACCTTCCTGAGGAGGAGGAGGAGAGAAGCTTCATAGCAGCTGCAGGTGGGCACATCACACCGCCCGCCGCTGCTGCTTGCAAGGGGAAAGTGACGCCCCAATGGAGCAGGGAATTGATGTTTTGCTCCATCACATTGTTCTTCAGGCAAAGTGTGGGAGCAGATGGTGGGAGGGCTGTCCTGGCTGTCCTTGCTAAACTGAGCATTAGGAGGTTGCACAGTAAAGGTTTGGAAGAGGAGATGAGCAGAAGACTATGGGAAAGCTGGCCCTATGGGTAGAGATGAGAGGGTTCACAGAAGAACTCTCTCCTGCTTCTCTCCTGAGTGAAGAGAAGAGGCAATTTTAGCTGTTTGTGTGGGAGTAACTATGTTGGTAGCCAGCAAATTTAGAGATAAATAGATAGCATCATTAATGAGATTACCTGCTGGAAAAATTAGAAAAGTGTACTGGTGTTTCCCAGTGTTGAGGCGTGGAAGAGTGTATGTGAGGATACGATCCCAAAATAGAACAGAAGCTGTCAGTGTCCAGAGCAGCCCTCTGAAAATTCTTCCTCCTTGCTGCCAAATCCTGGAAATTTCTTAATGGCATCTCCTCATTGGGCACAAAATCTGTGCTGGTGCCTGTGGCCCACCTGCCCTGAGCTACTGGGTGCCTGACGCCTTCCACTTGCATGATGGCAGCCAGAAACAGGGGCAGGAGGTCTCATGGTATTGCTAGATAGCCCTGCAGTGGCCTCATTCTGCAGGGGTCTGAAGTCATAGCCTGTGCCATGCTCCTTCACTTCTAGCCCTGTTCTGTGGGTCACACAAGGTCCCCAGCGTTCCCCTGGGGAAAGTGAGCGGCTTCAACCCATCGCTCTGAGAGGGGCAGCTCAGTGAAATGCAGTCATGCAGCTGGTGCAGGGTGGACTGATGGCCTCCCTTCTTCCAAAGGCCTAAAATTCATAGAAAGCTAGCAATAGCAATTTATTTTTTTAAATGGTTTTCATTGGAATAATTTTATATAGAATCAATTCAAAGCACTTTGTGACAGCAAATGCGATATTTGTTAGAAGCAGGTCTGTTAGAAAAGAGTTCATAATTTAAAATCTGCCTCCTTGGTCCCATGGGACAGCTCTGTCCCTGGCACTTAAATCTTTCTGGTTGGTCCCATGGGACTGCTCCATCCTTGGCACCCCTCCCCTCTGTGTCCGGGTGTGCATTTCTTCCTGCATCGGTACTGTCGCATCATGGAGCGAGACAGAAATGCGTGGTGGCAGGCTGCTGCTAACAGGGATCCTGCAATCTCTTCATTGATAATAAATTGATAATAAATCACGGACACAGAGACTGCAGCATGACTGGCATCCACCATCCAGAGAGGTAGCATTGCTGAGGCTGTAGTGAAGCATTTTGAACTTGGGGTGTCTCCTGGATGCTTCCCTTTCCCCCCACTTCATTTGACTGCAAGACCTTTGGCTCATATGGCCTGGCAGGAGCCACTCTGCCGCAGCTGCAGCCACAGGCAGTGTGGTTGTGCCCTGCTGCCGTGCCTGCTGCCTGCAGGTGTGCCCGAGCCACACTCACATCTCCATCACTCTCCATCTGAAGAGCACTCAGGCTGGAGCTAGGCTGGAGGCTCTCCTTGGGGAGACTGTGGAGCATCCTCTTCCCACTGCACGGTGCAGTGCCATCCTCTCCAGAGGCTCGCAGGGCCAGACTGTCTGTGTAACCACCTCTAGCGCCTGAGCCAGAAGCTGGAGAGACTGGTATTGTCCACCTTGTGAACAGATCATAGAAAAGATCAGGTTTAAAATGCTGTAAAAACCTCCCTTTAAATGCCTTTGCTACATTCACATTGCAATGATGACATGGTACAGATCACAGAGGTTTCTATCATGTTCAGAAATTTATTACTGGAGCCTAATTATTAAACTTTTAATATTTAAAAATAAATTTAATCTTTTAAACAGCTTTTAATAAATGGAGGAACATCCTTTCTGCAACTGAAGCTGCCCTAACTTAGGGCTAATTTACTTTTATGTATGTCTGAGCTTGGGGGTTGTTTTTAAAAAAGCAGCCTAACCAAAACTCTTCTGTTTTACTCATTTCCTAGGAAAGGGTCGAGTAATGCTTCCTTCCATGTTCCTGATTTCCTATGAAATCCTTTAAACATCCAGCCCATTCCATTCCTGTGCTGTTAGTGCAATTGTTGCAAATCTCAGCATTATTGTCTAACATACCTCCTTCCCACAATGGTTTTATATTTGGGTTGATAAGAATTTGGTTTTACTTTGGGTTTGTTTTTTTTTAATGGCGAATTAAGCAATGCAACATCATCTCTGGAAATTTGAAGATCAAGATTCTTAGATGTTTTTCTAAAAGACATGGTACCACTGAAGCAGGAATCATTTCGGGGAAGTCTGATGGCCTGCATTGAGCAAGATGTCAAACTAAATACTCATAACAGTCTCTGCTGATCTTGAAATCTATGACTCTGTACTTCCTGCCATTTCTGTAGACTCTTTTAGGCTGATTGTTAAAACCAAACAGAAAAAGCAATCTGTCCATTCCCTCCTCAGTGCTACCCTGTTTCTCACCTCGTTTTGTAAATGCAGACACAAATGGTGCCATAGCAGCATGGGGATGAGATGAAAACGTAGATTTGATAATTTCAGAAGGCGGCAGCATTTGTTCAGCTGCATGTTTCCATATGCAGGGAGGCATGGAAATGTTCATTGTTACAGCAATCAACTGTCCAATATAGGAGGTGTCCTGTTATATCTCACTGATTAATGAAGACGTCTGTTACTTCCTGGGGTTCAGCGATCGAACTCCACTTTGTGCTGCAGAGGCAGAACATTTTATTCAGATGTTAAGTCTTAATCCACTTGAATTAATATGAACAAGATGCTCCTTATCCCAGTTTGGTTTTTAAACTTTTATAGTCACAGGATGAAGTTAACATACATATGAGAAAATTGCTGTGGATCTGGATTGCTTAGTTTTCATTCTGAATTTTAAACTGTATTATGTTTTCACAAACTACTATTTGAATAGATCATTATTTTTTTTAGTAAAAAAGAGCCAGATGACACTGTTTATATAGCTTGGAGTGGAGGGAAGAGAAAGAAATTCTTGGGTTCTATCTACATACTTGTCCTATTTCTGTCAATTTTGATTTTTCTTTCCAGTCTTATGCTGGTGGCAGCTACATAGTGTAAAGGCAGTTATATTGTTGGACACCTTAGGTACAAGAATAGCAGAACACGGTTCAAGTAGAAGATTAATTATTTATATAGAAAGGTACCAATTTTGTTCAGCAGTAATGTATTAAATAGTTTACAGTCTGTTCAGAATGCACAAGGAACCTATTCTGTTCATGTAAATCTGTGTTCTGAATTTCTAATCCCTAATAAAACGTCTAATGTCTTTTATATTTCAGTAATAGATTGCTGGAGTTAATCCATCTTTTATTTAACAGTGTTATACTTCTTTTGAGGTATTTTAGATTTCAAATATTGGTTCCATCTTATTCAGAACTGTGCTGAGACATCACCATTGTTGTGGCATGTATCATTTCACCCAAAGCACTTTGAAGAAATTTGTTCCCTTTGAAAGATGAACAAAAATCAACATTGAAAATGACATATTTAATTTCAGCTCTTGTACTAGGATGCAAATCACGCTTCTTACAGAATATATCTTATGAAATAGCCCCCTACCTGTTCTCCCTACCTCTAGTTTTTAGCTTTCAATTCCTATTAAACTTGCCTACCATGGGAGTCCCCTTGACGTCTATAGATTGTGATGTAGCAGAGTGCAGAAATAAGTTCAACACAAATCATTTCTGGTTTTCCAGTGTCCATCAAGGAGGGCTGTGTATGTTTGCACAGCACGTAAGTGTGTGGATTTGTTTCTCCTTCTAACAGCTTTGCATAGCTAACAACATGCCAGCGGGGCATCAGTCTCTTCCTTTACTCATATTAATTACTGACTTTTAAATCCTTTCATTAAAATCATAAAGTCATCTTTAGCAAATAGATCGCACAAACCCCATTGGCATAACTCAACATTTGACCTCCTAATGGCCTTACCCCTAAGGGAAAGAATGGGCATCTGTGCAAACTGCCTGGTGACACTGTGTTTCTTTTTTAGGGTTTATGACAGGCCTCCATTAGCATGGTCTCCCCAGCCCAAGACCGATAAAGACCTTGCCTACTGGAGGAGACGAGGACAGGACTTCAGTGTGCTGCTGGGCTCTTCCCAGAAAGGCAGTGTGGAAATGAAAGGCCTGGCTGCGTCCCCGGGGGCACCCCGGCACCCCAAGGAGACTCAGCTGAAGGTGGGGACGGGCGCAGGGTACCTCAGGAGAAGCGTTTTGCAGGAGAGCTGCGAAGTGCCGGGGGACTGCAAATGGCAGGGTCTGGGGATGGAAAGCTGGAACCAGCCAAAAAAGGTAGGGAGACAAATGTCCGAGGGCGACAGGGAGAAGCTGCTTCAAGAGCTGTATTCGCTGACACTGGGAGAGAACGTACTGAGCACCCACAACAAGGGGAAGTCGCAGTCCTTGCCAAGGGTCCTTTCTCCAGAGAGTATGAGGTGCGTGGAAATGCCCTCCCTGAACAACAGTAACAGCTCGCTCAGCGCAGCTAAAACCCCCTCCTATCCCCCAAACAGACTGAGTGTGGAACCAGCCAAGCACCACGAAACGGGAGGCCATTTCCTTCCCCTAGTGAAACCCAAGTATGGGAGACCTCTCAAGCCTCCGTCCTATGAACTGCAGCGGCAGACGAGGGCACCAGCAGAAAGCGTGGGTTTCCAGGACCACTACCAGAAAGACGAGCCCATCCCCTACTTAGCCAAAGTTAATGAGCCAAGGCAAGACGCTTGCATCCAAGACTCTGCTTTGGAGCCCCCAGTCTATGTACCTCCTCCATCTTACAAATCCCCATCTCACCAAAATGCCACCCCACGTCCCCTCAATGAAGTGCCTAGCAACGACGCGCATGCCAGCAGTGATCAGCAGGGTCCCGCGGAGCGGGTTGTCCCCTGCCAACGACCAGCTGCGAATATTTCTGAAGCTGGGGGTGACCCTTGCAAAGACAACCACCTTCCTCACGGGAAGCAAAGCCATGCGCGGCGCCCCACTGACTACCTGCGTTCTGTTCAGTACATTCCCTTCGACGATCCTCGCATACGACATATTAAAATCGCACCACCGGAAGGTCTGCAGGACAACGCTAAATACACTGAAAATGCATGTGGTCCCAGTTCTGGTGCTTTGCAAGAGAGAGATCTTGAAGTACAGTACAACAGTGCCTTCTTGGATGCATCAAGCTTGTCCAATTCTGCAAAGGGAGAAAGAACTTCTGACAGCTCCACCCATAGCAACAGATGGTTGGCACCGTCCATCCGAGATCAGGAAAATTGTGCCTTGCTGGACCAAAGAGATAGTTGTAGCACAACTAATCATAGCCCCCGTCATGAAGCCAGCGCGGAGTATGCAAAAGGCAAACTTTCTGTAAGAAATTCACATATGGACAGCACCTGTGAGACTGTTACAAAAGTGAAAAAGTTTGAACCTGGAACGGGGATGCAGAGCAAAAAGAGTTCAAAGAAAAAAATGAATGAAACTATATTTTGTTTGGTCTCTATCCCAGTTAAATCAGAATCCAATCTGCCAGATACAGATAGGAACAACAACATAACCCAGAGCCCTGATAAGAATGGGTTTGATAACAATGGGGCTTTGCAAGAACAAAGTCTCTTAAGTATGTCTTCAACGGACTTGGAGTTACAAGCGCTTACAGGAAGCATGACCAATAAAAATGAGTTACAAAAACAAGAGTTGTGGAGACCAGAAGAGTTCAAACAAATGAATGACCTCAGATTTATTCAGCCTGCAAAACACAGAGAGCTCAAATACTCTGGCTCCTGGCCAGGTGATCAGTACAAAGACCAGCAGACACAGACCAATTTCACTGAAGAACCTAAAAGCCCACAATTTTTCCATGGTACAAAGCCTGGGCAGCCCAGTAGTAACAAAACGCTGTCTCCAAAGCCCCCAGGATGTCCAGCATCCACAATAGGGTCCAAACAGGCGGGGTTGCCTTCTGATGAGAGAAGCTGCAGACAGACCTCTTACGGCATGAAGGGTCAGATGCACCTCAGCCAGTCTAGCAACAGTGCATTTTCCAGGACTGCCACCTCGGTCCTTCAGGCCCCCTCCCCAAAAGCCCACCAGAGCCAGCCTGTGCCTGCCCAGGAGAGGGAAACCGGCCTTTTTCCCAGGGGAGATATAGTGAAGGGAGAAGCAGGCGCTCCCTGCAACAGTAAAGAGCTGTTTGGGCAGTTCCTGTTAAAGCCTGTAAGTCGCCGTCCCTGGGACGCAATAAGTGAGCTAGAAAGTTTTAACAAGGAGCTGCAAGAGCAGGAGGAGAGCACTAGCAGTGAAGAAGATTTGGAAAGTGCTGCGGCTTCTCCGCAGGCAGGTGGCCTTACACCGAGGAGGGTGTCCAGAAACGAGAAGTTGAACCAGGAGCCAAGACACGGTAGGAAATCAGAAATGGTTGTGCCAGAGGTGCCTGTATTTAAGCCAGGAAGAGTTAAAAGTAAGTCTGAAAGTTGGAGCGTGGGGCCGGAGCATGGCGGCGAGCTGGGCTGCGTTGGCTCTCAAGGCTCCTCGCAGCCAGGAGGGAGCAGTGAAGAAGTCGGGCCAGCAGATGGAAGTCTGATAACAGAAATGAGGGTGGGGGAAGCCAAGAGCGGAACAAGCAAGCAGCAAGTTCGTGTGGGCCCTCTCAAGAGACTTTTGTCCAGTAGCCCAACCAGTTCATGTCACAGTAATCCTTTCAATAACCCTGTTTTGCAGGAGATGAGCGAAGACCAAAATTACCTAGATTTTGTTAAACTGAGCAAAGGTGCAGCTCCCACACATGATACAGTATTAGAGAGAGGCTCGGTCATACGCTTGTCACTAACGAAGAGGAGCCAAGGGCGCTCAGAGCCAGATTTGAGGTCAGTGGGACTTGATGTAGCTCCAGGACCTGGTGCTAACAATTCTGATCACTCTTCAAATGCAAATGCAGTGGAAATCCCCGTGAATGAGTCATTGCAGGCAAGAGCTGCAAGAATTTTAGGTATAGATATAGCAGTGGAGTCTCTCCTTCCAGATGACCATGTTGGGTCCCAGCCGGGCACTAGCCCTGCAAATGGTGCCCAGGACTTTGAGTCATCAGTGGGGAGCACAGTAAGTGAAAAAGAAGGAAAAAAAGAGGGTTCATATGAAGGCAGACGAAAGTGTGGCTGGACAGAGAGCGCTCTCTTTGTCGGAGGAGGAGGCCGATCTTTATATCCTGATGAATGCCAGACCACTCACCAGGAAGCCAGTGCTAAAACACCGGTAACTGAGCAAGTTCTTGAACAACCGGCAAGTCCCAGCCAAGGTGAGGACCAAAACGTGGTTTGCAAGTCAGCTGTATATCAGCATTCAGAAAAGAGAGTGAGAAGCACCTCGAAAGTGATAGAGACACTCCAAGGCAAGCTCACTTCTCCACCGAGCCGGACTGCCATGGATCGCCTAGTGCGGATGAAAGAAGTTGACTCTGTGTCCCGGATGAGACGTCTGAGCATTAAGAGTGCAGACTCGGGAGAGGAGGTGGACGAGGAGAAGCTGTCAAGGGTACAAGAGGAGAGAGGAAGCAAACTGGCAAGCTCAGGGGCTGTTTCCAAGCGTGTTATCTCTCTCAGTGAAAATGGATATTTAGGTGGAATGGACAAGAAGAAGATCGACAGAGATTTTTCTTTAGGTAAGACCTTCTGTGGGAGATCCAAATGGGTGCTCTTTCCTTATGTAACGGGCACGATCGGTTTGCTCATGCCCACATAATGCTGCTCAAATAGTAACAGGCTGTAGGTGGTACTACCCCTGTCTGGTTGCCACCCCCTTTGCTCTCCTTGTGGAAGAGATAACGTAAGTGTTCTTTGATCCCATTTTAGGAGAAGTCACTGTAAAACTCACTTGTAATATTGAAACTCATTCACAGAGACTGGAGTGCTCCCTGAGGTTTCATCTCTGTCTAATTGTTTCAGGGAACAGCCAGCTTCAACCAGCAGAGTTCAGAGATAGTCACTCTAGTGCCAGTGTTTGGGAACACGTGGTGATTTAATCATAGCCTCTCCTTGAATACCCATTTTCCCCCTCTCTAATACTTAAGTAGACACATATTATATCAGAGTTCAGAAGAAACTAAAAATAAAAATCTGATGTTCTTCTGTGAAGCCTCTGGGAAATGGCTGCATTAAGGGGCCTGGAAAATTCTCTCTCTCTCATGAATATTTTCCAGATCAGATGTTGAGAATAGCTGTTATCCCCAGGTGAAATGGAAAGTTGACTTTTTCAGTGAACACCTTTTTTTTTTTATTTTTGGTGTTCCTCATCTCTCACAAGCATATAAACTTGTGTAGTCCATATGCATCCCCAAAGAGTAACATGAGCTGTTCTCTCTCCAAAACAGTTTTCATACAGCATTGTGTTGAACAACTGAAAATCAGTTGTTGCCGTAGATTTGTGTAAAGGGATAAATCACCCAGGCCAACTGTCTACTCCATTAAATTAATTGGAGTGAGCAAATGTATGGTGTGAAAGTTGTTAAATGAATATTAATCTCCTTTCTTTTACCATCCTCTCTGTAACAGCTGACATTCTACCTTGAAATCTGCACAGGTTATTCATTAAACCTCATCGATATAAATCTGTTCACAGTTTTGCAGTACAGAGGGACTGAAATTAAATGGAGCATAGTTTAAAGTGGATTTATGTATTTCCATCTGAAGAGAAATATTTGTGTGAGTTCTGAATATCAACTCCTGCAGTCTTGCAGCCTTTCCCTTCATGTCTTTTTTTTTTCTGTATCCCACAGCTCTGTGTCTTTTTCTGCTCTGAGCTGTGTTTCTCTAGACCAGATTTTCCAAACGGGCTAATTCAGCTCCCTTGTACCCATCAGGTCTAGTGTGCCCCACATGCATCTCATATGCTTTCCTCCCTTGGGGTTTCTGCTGGAGTGAAGAAAATAGCTGTTGTGGTGACATAACTCCAGGGATGTATCAAAACAGACTGTGTGTGTTTTATTGGAGAGTTATTCTGCAGTAAATTAGGTCTAAATTTATCCCTCTTGCTGACGATGCCAGGCTTGTATTCCGCAGTGTGTTCCCATTGCAGCAGTTCCCTGGCAGACGTCAGAGCCCTCCCCAGGTCGGGATGGGGTGGGTGTCCCTTCCTGCGGTGTCCCGTACCGCGGGGTAACACGCACCCACACGGGGAGGGAGGGCATCTCCTCCCCTGGCCTCTTCCCACCTGTCTTCCTCTGTTAACTCTCACTCCAACTCCCAGACTAGCTCACTGGTGCCACTGAAAGCCAAAAATAAGAATCCTGGAAAGCCATTGTTGCTTTTAAAGAGTAAATATTGCTAAAGGCCATTCAATTTGGAACGGGGTTGGGGGATGTTAGTCTTATAATTGCAGACTGGGCCCGTCGCAGAGGCTAGAGGCCTGAGCAGAAACAGGTTTTCACATGTATAATGCAGCTTGGCAGATGAACAGTCATCTCCCAGAGTCAGAGCTCTGCCGAAACTCTGTGCAAGAAGCTGATCTTACTATGCAAATACTGCCATTAGAAGAATACCTCCAAGTGTTCCCAAATGCACTGGATGTCGTTTTTCCTTTGCTGTTTGAAGACTGCTTCCATGAGGCTGCTGGTCTGGCTTGCTTTATGCAGAGAGCATTTCAAAGGAGCTTACCCAAACCTCCAACAAATAGTGCTGTATCAGTGCCAGAACTCCAGTGTTTGTCCCCCCCAGAACTGGGATGTAGCCTGGCAGTCTGGCCATTTTGTGTCCGTGGTTTAGCTGCTGGGGGTGTGGGTAAGATTTCAAGGAATAAGGCTTCAAGCAAAGGCTCTGTGTCTCGTGGCCTGATCTTGTGCCCCCCGCCACCCCCCGCCGAGCACCTGCCATGTTTTGGGGAGTTCCATTGGTGTGAATGTCTCTGGCCTCAGGAAAATCAAGCTTCTGAAATGTGGATCCATTTTATTCTTAGGTAAACCTCACACAGTTCAGAATTTTCTGTACGTTCTAGCAGTTTAGATGGCAAATTATTTACAATTGCAAAAAACATTACTGCTTTGGAGGCATCTTCCCACACCATCAGTGCATTAAGCTTAGAAAGATGCAGCACTGTCCTGGAGTGCACTAGTCTTCAAATTTTTCCTCTTGATTTTTTTGCATTCATGTGGTGTCTGTTCTTGAAGTTTGGAAATACCAGAAGAGTCTGAATACTGATAAGCAGTTCTGACAACAGAGGTGTTGCTGGCACAGCCCCCTTACTTGGCTGGCCTAGCAATTTGAGGAGAACGGGCAAAAAAAGTGATAAAGGATCCTGCAGCAGGAATCCACCCACTGGGGCCAAATCCAGAAGTTCTTTCCTAGCCAGTCCTCCCTTGATATCAGTCTGGAAGCTGCAGATGGACACTTGCAAACAGGAGTAAAAATTTCCCTCTGAGGACTTCTATGCTTGTTTTAATGGAGACATTCACTCACATCAACATAAAAGTCTTGAGGGTGAACATTTTACTCCAAAGTGTGATATTTATGTGTGCGACTGTTCTCATGCTCAGCTGTTCAAAGGCGGGTGCTGTGGGAGTGCAGCCTACGGGAGGGATGTTTAAGGTTAGCACAGATATCCAGGTTGCACAAGAGCAGCGAGTCGCACATGGTAGCATGGGCTGCAGTGCCAGTTTGTCCAGGCCCCTCTGAGCCTACAGATGCCTCCATAGGTAGCCCTGGTTCCTCCACACCGTGACCATCCATCTCAAGGAGGTTAGAGTAGGTCAGACACGTGCATGACCTCCTTAGTGACATGGTTTAGTGATGGTGTTTTGGTTTTTTTTTCAGAGTTAGGTTGATGGTTGGACTAGATGATCTTAAAGGTCCCTTCCAACCTAGAAATTTCTATGATTCTATGGCCTCCATAGGCAGCCCTGGTTCCTACATGCCATGACCGTGCATCCCAAAGAACCCAGGGTAGGTCAGACGTGTGTGATGGCACAGGGCAGGCAGATATCACAAGGCAAAGCCCTTTCATTGCAATCCTATCCCAGAGTCACAAGGGTGAGGGAAAAGGCTCGTGTCTTCTCACTTCATGGCCAACGTTGGGATAAATCCAATAAAGCATTCTGATAGAAGAGTGTTCTTGGGGCTTCAGGAAAAGCAAAACAAAGTGTGGTCTGTCCTGTGAACTGGCAAGAGGCAGGCTGAAAATGAGGACCAATGTTAACAGGCCAGCCCAGTGCTTTAGTGAATAATGTTCCAAACGTGAGCTGCAGTTCTGCAGGCTGAAGCGAGACAGTCTGACCACAGTGATGCAACGCAGCTGTGCTCTCCCGTGTTCTGCTCAATTCATCTGAAACCAAGGACTCGCAATGGAATGAAAAGGCCCTGATGACTGGATGGCATCGTCGCTTTTTCAGCCAGCCTTAAACACCCCGCTACAATTCTTAAAGCTAAATTCTTGTCCTTAATTTTCAGTACAAGGGGGAGCAAATCTTATGTCTTTCTCTGCCTGCCAAAGCATCTGAAAACTAGAAGTTATCACTTAGCAGTCAGTGTGCTTGTTCCTTCCTGCTCAAGGTTTCCCAAATTATATCTCCATGCAGTTGATTCAAGTTGCTCCAAAATGACACTGGTGTAAATACAGAATTTGGGTCAAGAATGTACTATGTAACTTTAAGGCTTTACATCCAGTATTAGCTTCTTTTTTGAATAAAAACTAGAGAAAGGATGTCTCATTTCCACAGCTAGCAACACTGAATAGATTTCACAATCCATTATTAACAGTGTTTTCTTGTCTTTTTTCAGATACGTATGACCCCACCAAAGTTGAAAAGGTGTGAGATGAACGGAGAGGAGAATAGAGATTTCTGCTCTACTAAGAATGTTTCGCTGATTATTTTTTTCTGGGTGCTTTTCGTTTGTTTTTTTTGTTGGTTTTTTTTTTTGTTCTTTGATGCTTGGAAATTGCCTCCATTTGTGGTGTTCATGGTGTACTGATAATGCCTTTACCACTGCCACTAGGAATTAGCTATTCGTACGTGAAACTGTTGCGGAGACTACGGAAAAATCTGACTTCTACATTGGAACCATCTGGCTTTGTAGCATTAAGACTTAATACCTACTGTTGGCAAAGAGTTTTTATCTGAACTCTGTTTCAGTCTTCAGCAGGGATGATGAAATGCATGAAGTGAGGCTTTTGAGTTTTCTCTTTGGTGTAAATGTAAACATGGGAGATTAGTGAAATGATTTTTAAAAGAATGTGAATTTATAAGCTAAACCTCTAAGTATCTACAGACTAAACTTCGTTTAACTTAAGGGATTTTTGGCCATAAGCAGAAAGTGCTGCTGCACTACACGGGGGAAAGGAATGTGAGAGAATGGTAGCGAAGACTGATGGTGAAATTATTTCTGACTTCCAGAGTTTGAATTTACTCGGATTAAGTACTTACTTGCCACCTAGAGAGAAGAAAAGCAAAAACCCCAAAGCTTCTAAAAGATGGAAGACTTTTGTAGTACAGTGTACAGAACGTGTAATTATAGTAGCTGGCAACTAGTGTTTCAAACCAATGCAAAGTATACCACTGGCTGTTTTGCACTCAGTATTACCTATTTTTGTTTTGCTGTTTAGAAATTCTTTATATGAAAGAATAGTAGCTGGTTTAAAATAGCCCATTTTAACAAAGTAACTATATTTCTTGTTACAGAATACTATCTATTTTTCTACGTTGTAAACAATTGCTAACAAGTGGCAAGTATAAAGAAGTATTATTATAATAATAATTATTATATTTTAAGAAGACTTATCCCTCTGAGTGAAGGTGCCCCAAGCAGATTTCACTTGTGTATCTTAATGCACACTCCATATTGCCACATACTCAGTAGCGCTACCTTATTTTGTTCTGAAAAGAGCCATCTATGTATGTATGTATGTATGTACTACAGGGTTAATTTCTGTTTTTCCCCACTCAACCCTTGGATCCTTCTTCTTGGAGCCACTTTCTGAAACACAGCTGAGAACTGTCTGGGCTGGTGTTGTTGCCATTACATCCCGGTGACGGTGATTACCAAAAAAGTGGGTTTGGATCTTTGTCCTGGTATCACTGAGCGGCTCAGAAAAAAAACCTGCTAGCTTTCTTTTACTTTGTTCCCTTTTACAGCTTTGGATTAGGCCAGTGTATAAAAATAAACAAAACTGGGTTTAATTCTTCCCCGAAGTCAACTGATGTTGCTGGGGAGGAGTTCAGGCATCTTCTTCGTGGCATTTAAATACATGGCTTTAAGTATATTTTATCTGCACACACAAATGCATGAATTACAGTTTATAATAAAGCCTATGCATTCTGCTCTTTGATACTGAATTAGCCTGCATAGTATCTGTGTCTTTAAAGCCTTTATGTCCACTCCTGTGTGTTTTTTTGTAAGTACCTCTGTACTAACATTCTTCTGATGACTTGGTCATGTACTCCACTGGTCTAATCTACTGGCCTTTTCTGGTTTTTAGCATAATTTTATTTTTTAAAATCTTCTAATTTCTTGAAATATTTTTTCCTAAGCCTGTAATTTGGAAAGAACGATGGGGAAAAACACTCATCCTGTGTTTTGGCAGCAAGAATTTCTTGTCTGTAACACATGATTCTGTTAAATATGGACTATTTAAAGCTTGTTTGAAAAGAAACTGTGGTGTATAATTATTTTATTAACTCTTGTGCGTGCTGTGTAGCAATACTTGTTGACAAACTGTTCCCACCACTCCTACAATATCCACCTTTCTTCATCACCATCTGGGACATCTTGGGGCTAGTAAATAGCTACAATACATTTTGCCCTCCTCTCCCCCCTGCCCCAATTCTGCCCATAAAAAAACTGTTCTTAAAAAGAACTGCTTCAGCTCTCATCATCCCACTTACTAGTAAAGCTGAGATGCCTAGGAAAAAAACTTGAAAGTTATAATTTATCCTTGATTTCTGGAGAACTGTAAATTTTCCTATATAACCAGTCCTGCTACCTTCAGTTCACGTCTCTGTGGAACAGGAGTTTTCTGATCGTTTTATTTTCTGACGGGGAGGGGACTGATTCTGCAAGATCCCTATTTCATCAGTCATGCCAAGTAATTACTTTTCCAATGCACATAAACAGCCCAGATCATAAAAATAATAATAAAAAAAAAAGGGAATAGGAAGCAGCAGTATTTCAGGGAGGGTTTTATTGGCTAAGAATCAGAAATTAAAACCTAGAAAGTTAGTAAACTTTGTTTCGCAGTAGGATGTGACTTAACAGTGGATGAAAGACAAGAGTTAGTACTGCTTTAAAAATGGTGTATTCCTCTAAGAACACTGGCTGTTTCATTCCATACTATACACCAAGTACAGTTTTGTGAATGGTTGTGGCTCAGTGTTTGTTCAGTACCTGAGCCATAGTTAAAATGTCAGCTCCTGGAACGGGCTGGATGGTACCAGAGCTGAACACCTTTCCACAGGCAAGCTCCTTTTATACCAGATGTAGTTAAAAACCAGTAAATGATGACTTCCAGTGCCTGTCCCAGTGGGTGCATAAAACTGTCATGGCAAGAGCTGTCACTGGCAATGGCAGCGGCAGGAGCTCAGGGCTGAGCGGATGCAGAGGAGGAGGATGTGACCGTCCGATTCCAGTGCCTCCTGCCATGCAGGAGAGTGACTGCAGAGTGGCAGTGAAGAACTGTGCCTTTATCTTTATTCTCAGGTGGCAGAGCAGAGCTAGAACCTCAGAAATCACCCTGTTACAAGCTGTCGTGGATCCGGCTTGTGCTGTTGTAGCTGGGGAAGCTGGGGTTGGATGGCAGGTCATCAAAGTGCTGGGTTGGGAAGATAGTAGTTTCA